ATATTAATTTTAAGGGTTTGTTTTGGTTCAAACAGAACCGCTGATTCCAGTTCTCAAATACAGAGGACGAATTAATTTTTCAAGTAAACGTCGCGAGGTTATAACATCCTCTTAGCTGATCGAGTGTTAGTTTGGTACAACGCGTTGATTGCAGCGTATACAACGTTGCCAAGTTGTAATAATTTTACCAACTACGCGTCGATTGCTTTAAAAATATTTTTATTTTAAAAATCTATATCTTTTTACTAAGAAGGTCAAAAAATTCTGCGTTTCTTTAGAAAATTTTATACCTTCTTGATTTACATTACATTAGTTTTTAAAAAATATGGTAAGATCAGTTTTCGAGATATCTGGAAATAAATGCATTACTTGTGTACATGAGAGGCTTCAAGAGTGTTAATTATGCACATTTTGATTGTTAATATCTCGTTTCACAAACGGTCAAAAAAATTTAATTTTTTTTATTTACATAAAAGACATTTTCATTGACCTTATATTTCAATTTTATTGAATTCTTAAGAAAAGCCGTTTTACGAGTGAACTACCTTAAGTTTATAGTTTAATATTTTTTTCTCTATCTGTTTTTAAGTTTTCTTCAAAATTCTAAATTTACATTTTTTCTCAAATATCTCGAATACGGTCCATTTTAGAAAAATTATGTAGGGGACAAGAACAGCTTTTATTTGAACGACATTAAGCCGAAGTTATATGACCGACCCTGTCAAATTAAAAAAACACTTTCAAGAGCTAAAAAAAAACTTATACTAAAAGATTACTGAAGCTTTTATGAAACTCTACCACACAAAAAGTAAGCTAAATAATAGTTTTAAAACTTTCTTATTCTCATTTTGGAAGTAGAATTTAAAATTTTTTAACATTGCTATAAATAAATAATTAGTTTTTCTTTTCTAAACTATTTTTACAAATAATAAAGACATTTTTAGCAAGTTTTTGTTTTTTTTTTATACATATATTTAATTTTTAGAACAACTGAGAAAAAGTCGTATGTCAATGAAAATTAAAAAAAAAAATGTATACAAAAGGTCGTATGTCAACATAAATCATAAAGCAATAAATTTTGAAAAAAAGGTAAAATAAATAATGTTTTTTGCCCCTCCTGAAAACTTTGATTTTTGGACATACGACACATTGCTGTTTCCACGACGAAATATAGAGTTACATACCTAAATAAATAAGTCGTTTTTTTCCGATAATGAGTCATCATCATCAGGTTCCTCACTTCCCACAGAAATAATAATTAGTTTTATTATTTACTCTATAACGTTATGCCTATTGTCCGGTGACATTTTTAATAGTTGACGAACATCTTGAAAATTAAATGTTGTATTGTTTCTCGCTACATATCCCTTCATTTGAACACAGATTAGTTTAATGGGGTTAAGTTCACAGTGATAAGATGGCAACCGTAATACTTTAACTCCATGTTCTTTTGCTATTTCATTCACACTTTACTTATTAAATTTTGATGTATGTTGATTACATAACTGCAATCTTTTTTTTAGTAATCCGTCTTCCTGTCACTACTTCTTTGGTTATTAGCCAATCGGAGAGTTCTTTCTTTTTCAATTTAGTGTTAGGTAATGGTTTCTTTGATCTTGAATGGTAACTGGCATTGTCCATAACTATTACAGAATTGGTCGTTAATAAATCATTTGACTAAAATATTCCCCAAAAACAAGAGCAGTAATTTTTTCATGGCATTCTTTCGTAGGATTTGAAACAAATTCTAACAAGCCTCTATCAACAAATCCTTTATCTCCTCCAATATGAGTGATAATTAAACGGCAACCTTTACCATTTGCAAATTTTAGGCCAGTAGACCAACTTTCTATAAATGCCTGACGGAGCATTTGTAACCTGTTTATTTTGTCAAACGTTTTTTTACAAAATGTTCTCTTCATCTATTCATGTTTCATCCAAATAAAAAATATTTTCATCTTTACCTATGAACGCAGATTTTCTATCGTTCTTCTCCCAAACAAAGTCTAATTTATGTAAAGTTTTCCACAATTTGTTTTTTTTATCATTTGGCAAAGTTTCGTCTCCATTAATGTCTACTAAAAGTTTATCTAAAGTGTACCTTTTTTTGTAAATAAAACAAATTTGTCTTCGGATCAGTTGTTTTATAGTCTATTTGAATGAGTTTTCTCCCATTTGATGTTTTAGGTGCTACTCTAATACTTCTATCCTTTCGTTACTTCAAAAGTATATAAATGGTTACTTCTTCAACTCCGGTATTATTGAAATGTTCATGTACAAGAGTCTCATGTATATTTAACACTAAAGTTTTCATATGCACGGTTAAATTGCACTTTAATTTCACAGGAGTATAATTAGACGTTTGTGCCATTTTCACTTGATCAGTATCGCCTTACAATCACAGTACTATACAAACAGAAATATAAATATTACCTAAAATAATTTACAATCTGCATAACACTTTCTGCCGATTAGAAATTCTAATCCTTTCTAAGAAACTTGAGGGCTACTTAAATTGATTTTGAACTGTAAATATTTTGTACCCGTAGAGATTATATACTTATTTTATTATTGTTAAATAAAATGGCTATTAAATCTGAGACAAGAATTAAAATAAATTGGTATTTTTAAAAATTTTATGAATAAAACCAAAGATTTTATTTTAGAAATTCTCCGTCACTAATTTATGATGTTATATTGAGGTTTATCTCCTGGAACATAAAAATTTTGCTGTCAATCATTTTTAAATAAACTATAGAATTTATTATAATGGATTAATTTTTTATTTATTTATTTCAAATTAATTAATGTCTCATCAAATAAATGTTAGTTTAGCTAATAGAAAGCAAATACTTATTTGAGAAAAATGTATTTCCTTAATACAAATAAATAATTTTATCAGTGTACCTCTCAAATTCGCTACAAAAATGTTCTTCGTAAAAGTTTGAGAACCCCTATTACCACCCACATACAGAAAGTACCTAAGAATGTAGACGTCACTTTTTTGACATAAATACCCGGAGGTAGATAACGCCATCACAGCAATAGATAATTGTTTATTGTCAATGAAACTGGACCATTTTCAAAGTAATAGCAATAACAGTGGGCTAGACAATGTAGGAACAAAAGAGATTGACAAACTGTGGTAGTTCCCCGGTGCGATAGTGTGAAAAATATTCGGAACACACGCAGAATGTCAGATTGCAGGGGGTGATTTTGGTCGTTTTAAACCAGGTGAGATTTTAGGAAGATGTTTATTTTGACAGGAACCTATTGCGAAATATAATTATTCAAACAAATGAAATCGAAATATATAGGGACGACAGTTGGATGACCTTAAAAAATACAACAAAAGTGACAACATTGATGGAAACAGTTCGGTTTAAAATTATAATTTTTGTGTCAAAACTTTATGACTGGTATACCGTGAAAGTATAAAGATTACATTATTAGATTTATCAATATAATTAATTAAAAAGAACCAAAACTTTTTTTTTAATGTCTTAAATACAAAAAATATTGAATTTTCCCATTTATCCGTTTCACTATATTCTAAAGTATTTAAGCCCAATTTAGCCACACATATTTTTCTTTAAAATAATATAATATTGAATTCCATTTATACGAAGACTATGAACAGTATTCACAGTATTATAACAGTAAAATTATTTATTGTGTGGAACTTCACTACCATTATCATTTCCATAAATTTAAATAAATGTTTTTACCTTTCCTTTAGCAATCTGCGTCCATGCACTTACGATGTTGGTGATTACTATTTTTAAACTAATTTTCTCAATTAATTGGAACCCATTTACATCACAAACTTCTAACTCCCTCAATTTTATTAAACATCATACAAAATTTGACCCAATTAACATATTTTTTTTTGGGGGGTATTGAAAAATGAAGACATCAATATCAGTGGTGTAGGATTTTTAAGTTAAAACCCGTTTTAAATATAAAGTTTAATGGTTATTTAGGTTCTCTTATTGAGAGTGTTTTGCCATTTTATAAAATTCTGTTACGTGCGATGAAAACGTGGTTCGTTTTTTATACAGTGAGCACATAAAAGTTGGAACAAATTGGATAAAACGGTTATTGATCAATTAAAAAAGTAATGCTTGGACAGGTCTATTTTGTTTTTTAGATGTGCAATTTTGATATACGTATATTTTTTTATGAAGTTATTATTTTTAATGGCACCACCATTTTTTGATAGTTACATAGTATTTTTTAATATACACAGCAAATTTTGTGTATGTTGTAGCACAATACTTTACAGATAAAATAATTTTAAAAATTTTAATAAGCCCATAAAACGTTTTGCAAGAATTTTAGAATTACCCAGCATATTGTCAAGAGATAAAAAGCATACATAAAATTATTATTATTCATTCTAAGTTAATTTTATTATATTGGTAAATACTAAAACTTTTTATTACTGTAATGTTATGTAATACTGAATAAAATTTGGTATCTACACTGAAAAAAGTACCTACTCTTTTAAATGATACTATTAAAAAATGGTAGTACTATTTAAAAAACTGGCGATATCGTCATATTTCGAGAAACAATAACATGGTATATCCGACAGAACTGCAGCTGCACCTGCATCTGCAGTGTTAAAAGATATCGGAGTAATATCACCAGAAGCTATTTCCAAAGTAATTGACATGAGTAAGGTAAGGAGAGAACGGCAGAAAAATCGCTTGCAGTTAAAGGATAAACTTTCTTCTACTAGTGTATGCGGACTATATTTTGACAGAAGTAAAAAGATAAAACATTGGTGTAATAGAAAAAAGACGCTAAATATTACCGTCAATCTATAGTTCCGGTTCAGCTAAAGATATTATGAGTAGTATCATTTCTTTTTTTAACGATAACGAAATTGATATTACCCTACGATGGAACTGTGATGAACACTGGTAAAAATGGAGGTGTAGGTAATTAGATTACTGGAAGAATACTGTAGCCGACTTCTTTAGTGGTTAGTGTGTATGCCGCAGAGAAATGAACTACCCCTTCGCCACCTTTTTCAACATTTAGATGGACAATACTCTGGACCCCGAGAATTTTCAGGTCCTATTGAGCGGATGTTAGAATCATGTATAAAACTAAGCCTAGCTAATTTTGAAAAACGTAATGGATGTTTACCTGCTGTTCCTCAAGCCGTTTCCAAAGATTTCAGTACAGATCAAAAATATCCCTTCGAGATATGGCATGCTGTTGTTAATGGTGACTGCTTAAAAAGTTTAGTCAGACGAAACCCAGGTAAAATGGTCCTTTCGCGTTGGTTGACGATAGCGAACCGTATTTTGAGTTTATATGTAAGTACACAAAATAATTCAACTAAGTTAAAGACCCTCGACGAATATATAATAAAAGTGTATACGCCAGTGTGGTTTCATATCAAGTAAAATCCTACATGTTACAAGGATGCAAAACATTTGTGGCGTACTATGCAGTGCATTAATAGCCGAAGTTGATCCAGTTATTCAATGGAATGGTTTTTTCGGACAATCTGAAAATATATTACTAACAATGTTGTTTGGGGAGAGGCCTTATATAAGAGAGCTTGGAATTCGACGCATTATAAAAAAAAACAAGGAGTCATCCCACCATCCTGTCATCATGTCGTCCAATTAGAGTATTTACAATCCTCTCTTTTAACTTTGAAGCTGCTAATAAATTAAGCACATACTGGAGAACATGTTGCTCTAAAGGGCATAACTTTTTATTTGGTAGATATCTGGACTTTTGTGGCTCTTCAAAACTCGTCAACTTTCCGTACTTAAACCTGGTGAAACATTTCACGTACTCTTATATCCCCTCAGAACGCTATTTTTCTTTTTCTGAGTTTCCAGAGGATAGCTACAAGAGGGGATAACAAGTCTGGTCCCGCAAGTAAGTAATCATTTAAACTTTTTCCATCAAACTTTGCAGCCGCATCGAAGACTTTTTTGAGCTTTTTTTTTTTTGACATTCATAACCGGAAAATGTGGAAAATACCAAGTACCCTTCAACAGAAGCTTCTTCGGGAGATAGTTTCTCTATATACCCCTTTTCGATACTGCATACCCCTTTTCGATATAACTTTGAATTCTTTTTGAATACTCTTCGCCTATTCTGATGTCTTTCTTACATTTTCTTTCAACAGAACGAAGTCTTTAGTGGGCTGTAGCTTTACTAGCTGGAATGACTGGATTTTCATCTTTTTATAATAGGCCTATCTCATATCTATCTTCTGTTTGCCTCGCTGTTTGCTTCATTATTTCCAGCGCTTCTGTTTCTGTTTGTGGGTTTAAAGCTAGGGACGGATTTATAAGGGCAGGAATACGTGCAAGACAAACAATGTCATCATTTAATACTAAGTCAGATTTCGTCGTGGATAAATTAATTGGAAAATTAGATATTTTATGGAATGTTTTGTTCTTATATTTCTTTTTAAAATAATGTAAGAATTACACCACAAGCATTTCGGATGTTCATTTTTTCGCTCCACCCTAATGAGCAATTAAAAAAAAACAAAATCAACATCTTCGAGCAAAAATTTATTAATAATCATTTTATCATATTTGCTTTAACCTAAGTAGGAATATATCCAGCCTTTGGAACATTATTTTCAGAACCATGGGGAACGGTCGCTAGTCTATCTAACGCTGTTTCCAGATTTAAATAGACATCTGTTAAATCTAATAGCTATTTCAGATTATGCCTATACTCAAATTACAAACAAAAATATTTTACTTAAGATTTTCCTGAAAATAATATTCGTAGGGGAACAATCACCACATTCTGGTCTACCCAGTAGTTGCGTATTGAAGCCCCCATTTACAACACTCCAAATGGGAACCCATATGGAGGGCATCCAAATGGATTTTATTTAAAAACTGTTCATTCAGATCAATCGAAATAGATGCGTGAAGAATGTAGTTTTATTTGTTGTGTTTTTATATAACCAGACATTGTCAAGATGGATGATAAAGCAATATTTTTTGTACTTTGTCTTTCTTTGCGTTATCTTTTATTAAAAAAAAAAACAATATCAAATGTTCCATTGCTGCATTTCTCTTAATTTTGTCATAATAGTCGTCATGTGTTTGTTATTTGCCATAAGCATGGCAATTCTCTATATTGCTTTATTACTCTTATAGGTAATAAATTCCTAACCACATTCTACGTTTTTTCTGTGCAACAATCAGTAATACTGAAAGTTCCAAGTCCAGTGCACTCAGGAACCACTAAAGAACAGTGTTGCAAAAAAAAAGGAAATAGTTTTTAATGCATAATTTGATTAAAACATAACTTCTTGAAATTAAAGGAATTAAAAAAATATTGCTCAGTTTATATTATTCAAAGTATATTTCAATCTAGCTTTTCTCCTTAAATTCATGATTACTTAGTTAAAGAATGTAAAATGTTTTTTTTTTTTGAGGACAGATATTTACCATAAACTGTTATTTTGCCTCTTGAGAAATAACAAAGATAAAGTAACATTTTTGTAAAAGGGGGTAAAATCGTACTACCATGGACAAAAAGTAATTACAATTAAATCAATGAGTTTACAGTCAAGTGCGAGTCGGACTTGCGCATGAAGGGTCGCACCCCAGTACAAGATTTAATACTATGTAGGTGCTTTTTACTACTATCAAGAAAAACAACCAAAAACACACGTTTGAAGTAGGGAGCTGCATTTTATTTTAATTTTTTATTTTTTTATTTTTATTGTTTGTTGTTATAGCTTGCACCTCGCTGGCAGACAGCTGGACAGTGGAGGCTTATTAATAGGTTCCTGTTGGTTACCCTTCCGGTACGGAACCCTAAAAGTCCAAAAATCGAGCCAAAAGTAAATGTTTTCAATTAAAATTTTGTTTGAAAAATAATATTTTTTTGACGAGGTGTGCCTAACAATAAACGTTGTATATTAGACCTTTTAAATTAAGATTTTGTTTAAAATATATTATTTTATCGTTGAAATATAAAAATGGCGACTCGCGTATCGGAGACAATACTAAAGATTTGTAGTTGCTGTGGTGGGAGGTGTTTGTATGAATGCGTCTTGTTTGTTTTCATTTACGCCGTGACTAGCAGTACACCAGATGTACAAGACATATTTGTACATCGAATGTATCCGCCATTATTTGTACATCATAATTCTAACATAACTTTATTTCAGATTAAGTGGAAGACTTAAGTATTTTTCTGTAGTAATTTATAAAACTTAGAAGCTAATTTCACATACGTGAATAAATAATAATAATGCGCTGACAATAAGAAGACGAAGCAATGCCTTCTCGTAGGGTGGCGGCTTCGACGCCACCAGAAAATTTCAATCCATACCGGCATAAACACCAACGGCCTGGTCACAGCTCACCTACTCTGTCAAAAGGAAACCGATGTACAAATAAATCGCGTACATCCGATGTACTACTAGTAACTCTCTTTCATTAAAAAAAGTCCACTCGAGCATATAAAATACCTAATATGTAGGTGGAAAAAATCACTGCATAGATTTTAGATTTTACCTATATTATTTTAAAATAAGTTACATAAAATGGACAGATAAAAAACTGCACTTTTATTTCGAAAACTGCATTTAATAAAGTAAAAGTAGGAATCATGAAAGCATTTGTTTTTTTAGGCTAGGTTATAAAAATCATAGATGACATGCGTACAAATCGTTAGTGTTGTCCCCGATACGCGAGATAATGGCGTGTTGTAGATCCAATTCGGGGTTTCCCATTCACATAGCGTCTACTAGGGGGGTTTATAGCATATGCGCATTTAGTCAACAAGTTACTGGGCATCGAAACTGGTGTACGTCCGCTTTACAATAACACAATTATATTTAAAATATAAAATAAAGAGTATAATTACAAAAATCTCAATAAAAGTAATAGTTTCACATTTTTTAATTTATCTCTCCTGAAATTGAAAAATTATGAATTAATTCAATTATTTGTACAATATAAATCTGGCTTTGGATAACAGAACCCAAATCTCGTTAACGCTCGAATCGACTCGATAGCACGATAGCCGAACTCCGAAGGATAGAAAATACAATAACAAACAATATGGCTCTCGATGTAAACAATTATAAGAGAGTTTTACTTTTAATACATTTTTGCGCATAAATTTAGGAATAATTTACTGTAAGTAAACTTATTTTAATACTTTAACAGGTCTATGTCTTATAAATGCATATAACTGATTGTAATAGTAAATTGTTCTGACCCATTTACACTGTTTTAGAACAAATATTTTTATTTTGTCAACTAAAAAAAAAAAGGATTATTATTCGTATTCGTAATTGTGTTATCCCCAAATATTAAAATCCTTAACAAAGCTTTAATTCTGATATTCATTTTGATAATAATTATTATAGATATGCGAATTTAATTATAGGCATTAACCAAGTTTTTTAATCTTGATAAATCTAAAGTATTTTCATTGCACAGGTAAAGCAAGAAAATCTTAATTATACCTTTATAATAGAAAATAGAAGCAGTAAATTAAAAATTAGTTTAATTGCTGCAAATGCAAAAGTACTTAGTCACATACAACGATTGTTTTTTTTTTTTTCGTTTTAGGATTTATAGATCTTGTTTTATTTCGCACATATAAGAAAAATTTTAATTGGTTTGTGTTATTTAAAATAGTTGTTTATTCAGAAAATATATATTATGTTTATTGTTGTAACCAATAAATATTCTACAAATAATATTTAGTTAATACAAACTTATTTATTTTACACCTCTAAAATTATTTAATATAAAATTTTACATTTTTATTTGCATTCTTTAACCCGCATGAGATGCGTATTAAAAAAATGATATTGAAAATGTAAAATTCTTATATTTTATCCAAGTAAATTCAAAAGCCTGCCAATTTTGAAACTAAAATAGCATTACAGCTTTCTATATTACCGACTGAGTATTAGTTGCTGAAGGCAAACATATTGCCTAGTTTCTGTGTGGAATCTGCAACTCTTAATTATCCTTCCTGCATGGCGTCTACGCTGCAAACTGCTACCAAAGTTCGTTGGATGTCTGGAACGTTTGGATATCCAGCGAATCACCCAAGTTTTTTTAAACATTCACGGAAGGATTTTGGAATGCAGTCACTCCATTTGGACATTTTGCGTGCTTGTGAATAAGGACCTTTACAACCATCATCAGACGATATTACACCTTCACAGTTGTTAAAAATAATATCTTAAAACTTTTACTCCATACATAAAAGGTTTCTAAAACCTTAGGGATATTTTGACA